GCATCGACATTCTTCATGTACAAGGAGCAGACTTTTCCTACACCAACGCTCCTCTCCCATTTTTTTTTCAACCGCTCCTTATTTGTATCTTGCTGCTAGCTTCCCTGCCCTCAAAATATGTCCATCCCACGTCTCCCTGTAACCCCTGATTTGGGGTATTACCGTGTGCTCCCAAAGCAAGTCTACCTAAGCCACGTTGTTTATTTCCAACCTTGGTTGAATTTTTGATTTCGTGCACAATACCGCAACGCCGAACGTCAAACCCGGGACCATGACACCTTTCCAAATCGCTCTCGCAACGTCACACCTATTGTAGTTCCACAGTGCCCTAATTTTATTTAAGCTGCATTCCTGGTGCCCTTACTCGCTACGAATCTTTCGTGCTCCCTTAGATATTCAGCCCCGTTATTTATACATACGGCCAAGTATTTGTATTTATCCACTATTTCTAGCATGACTTCTTGTATCTGTGGTCACGGCCTTTGTTATTTAAATTCATTATTGCCAATTTTTCCCTGCTGAACTTCAAATTAAACCTGCCTTCCTCATTGCCACAGATGCTACTAATCCCTGCAGATCTTTGTTGTTGGCTAACTATACTATAACATCTGCATACATAAATCCTAGTAACGTCTGTTCAATGTGTTTTTTTTTGCTTGGCAAAAGAGGCTGAGTCCAGGTCAACTGCTCTGTAATTTGGCTTCTAGTCCCTGGAGACACAACATAAATAACAAATGTGACAAGGTACATCCCTGTTGGAGCCCACGTTGTATCTATAAATTCAGGAGCCTGCTCTTCCGATTTCATAACTACCTTGTTACTTTTATAGGTATCCTTAGGAAGATTTGTCATTCCATCTTCATCACTTAGTGTATCCAGTATTCCCCACAAGTCTACTTGTATTACACTGTCGTAAGCTCCCTTGATATCTGTAAATGCCAGCCAGAGGGGCGTGTGTTCTTTTTCCGCTATTTCAATACACTGCATCGATCAAAACAAATTGTCCTCCAACCTCCTTCATTTGCAGAATCCATTTTGTAGTTCTTCGAGCACCCCTTCATACTCCACCCATGTCTGTAGGCTTTTCTTTACTATCTGAATCACTAGCCTGCAAACTACTGCTGTCACTGGTATAGGATGGTAGTTGTTTATATTGGATTTGTCGCCCTTTCCGTTATAGATCATCTTCATCCTGCTTAGTTTCGACCCACTGGGTGCTTCACCATTCATTACTGCTTGCTCGCTGCCTCTCCTAATGTTTGCTTTGGGATGCCATCATGGCCTGCTGATGTGGTATTAGGAACCCTTTTCTGTGCCATTTCTCAGTCTAGTAGCGCCAGTGGAGCCACTTAGCTAATTGGTTCATCTTTATCTGGTGCAGCCCAAGCAGCGCTTTCTTGGTGTTTAAATTTTTGTATCATTGTTTTTTTATATTCCATTGCTTCAAACCCTTCTCGTCAGGCCCCTTGAACTGTAGGTATAAACTCCTGTTTCATGCTTATCTTATTGTTCTGAGAATCGAGATGGTTCCAAAACTTTGCAGCTGCATTTCTATCCGTTTTGTTAAAGGCTTAAGCCATCCAGTGGGTCCCCTTTTTCTATAATTTCACAGATCAAATCGCACGCTTCCCTTCTGCAGCTCAAAAAGCTATCCCATTTTCTTTTGACATTATGTTCTGGTTCATCCCTCTGTTAATATACCAGTGTTCTTGGGAGGCTTCCTCACGTCTTTCTATGGCTGTCTTCACTTCTTCAATCCACCAGCTCTTTGGTTTGCGTCTGCTTTTCTCGGTTGGTTTGACTCGTACCTTACCAAGCCCTAATTCAAACAATCAAGTGAGATTTGTGTACGTCCAATCTGTTTTAGTATCCTCGGTGATTATTTTCTCAATCTTTTTAGTTGCTATTTTTATTTGCCGTTATGAATAAATATTACAGTGTGGTTACTGCAAATGCCGCCTTTCCACTCTTATTTCTCTTCCGTATCTCAGCTTGATACGCTTGTGATCACTACCTAAGCTTCTGAACCCATATTCATCTATGTTCATCACCCTTTGCCGATCATACATCCTATGTGACAATTTTGAGTAATCTATCGTCGACTGCAGCCTACCCACCTCCCATGTTATCTGCCCTTCGCATTTCTCGGTGCTGTTGCGAATGTATAAATCATGCCTTTCGCACATACACATTAACATTCTGCCTGTTGGGTCAGTATATCAATCCATATCTTCTATGTGCGCATTCATATATCCTAATAAAATTACCTCGCACTTTTCACCTGGTTCGTCAATGTCATTTACTAGGCACTGCATCATTTGTTGATTTTACTCTGTGGCTTGTACCCCTCTCCATAAGTATACAAAACCTAGCAGCGTCATTTGCATGTCACTTTCTCTTTTAGCCATAAATGTTCCTTCCACTCCTGCTTCACCCTTTGCCAGTCTGTACTTTTATGAATGAATGCCCCAATACCACGCCTCTTTCTGTTGCCTTCTGCTCTATTACAATATTGCAGCCCGTAGTTCGGATTGTTAGGAGGTTGTTTTATGTCCTGAAGATGTGTTTCTACAAAATCATATACCATCAGCTTCTCCACCCATACTTATTTCTATCTCTTCCAACTTCAGCCTATTTCTGCCAACCTGCATGTTAATACACCATACGTCTGAATTCGCTCGGGCCTAGTGTCTACGTCAATTTCTGCAGCGTACCTTACATGTCTTAGACATTAGTGTCACTTTAGAAAGGTATCTGTCTATACCACCTGTCAAAGAGTCGCTCTGGTTGATTTCATCGTGACTAGCTTTGCTGCAACCCGAATGGCCTGCGTGGTGCCCCCCAAAAAGCTGCTGCGCGTCCAACAAGTCCTGAACCCGCCCCATGACCTAGCCTCCCATCGAAGTGAATTCTGTCTCGTTGAAAATCACACCACCTATGCACCACTCAGCTTATTTCTAACACCTCAAGCCTTTCTCTCTACTCATCCGCCATATATCTCGGTTTGCGCTGACAACCGCTTTTGTGCAGGTTTCCGTCACACACCAGTAACTCCGGTACCGTGCATATCACTACTTTTGCCTGCGGATAAATGGCACGCATCTACTCAACTCCTTTCACAAGTGTGGTGATTGTCGTGGCGTATCTTGATTTAGGACACCGTTTAAACCACCTGCAATTATCATAAGGTTTCGTCCATCAGCTGCAGTTTTGAGTTTTGCACTCGCTTGCCTCATGACTGCTTCCAGCTTGCGTCCTGGCAACATCCCTACTGCAACGTTCTGGTCACCTCTTACCTTCTCTTTGGTTGCTTCTGCAGACATATTGAAAATCGAATCTTTGGCGATGAGCAGGTGCTGTGACTTTTCAGCTGGAGCGTCCTGCACTGGGGCGTTACTTGCACCTTTGACGGCGGCTGCTTGGTCCCCTCCCAACCTCACCACTCTTTCGCTGAAGGTGGGGTTTGCGACCATTGAGCCAGCTGAAGCTGTTTTTTTTCTAACTTCCTTGCTGTTTCTTCTGCGCTGTTCTATGTCAGTGCCCTACCGTTCTCTCCGTCGGCCGCTCCTTTGTTCACCTTTCTAGTGCCTCCTCGGCAGACTGGAGCCTTTCTACCATAGCCCTCGTTTTCTCTTGCCCTGTCGCCAATGCAGTCACCAGCTCGGCGATTCTCATCAGGTTCACATACGAGGCTTTTGTATGCAAAGCGCACGCAACGGCCAGTTGGAGAGTAGCGGCTCTTCGGAGAGTTGCAGCAGAGCGACGTCATATACGAAATAAAACGAGAAATAGTAATAAATTTCTTTTGCCTTATTTCCGTTCTCGTCTCTTCTCGGTTTCGCGTGACTAGTCACAAGACTAGCCACTATAAGGAGCTTCGCCCCTTAGAGTACAAGAAATCACTCGAAAAAGCACGCGAACACGCAAACCTTCTCACACAACCACAATGGAATACTGGTGGAGCATCAACGCCCTCCTACACCCCCCCCCCCCCGAAACTGCCAACTCTGCCCAAACGCGCTCGCCTATTGAAGGCTTGCGACGCAACAGGCCGCGCGTTGTCTTTTATCCCGTGGCCGTGCTAGGTGTGAAAGAATGTTCCGAAAGGCAGACACAAAGTAGGCTTGAGTTTTCGATATGTAGCTCATGGTGGCGCCTACAAAGAACGGCATAACAAAACACTAGGAATACGTTTATTAGTAGGAGCGTACTTCAACACGTGGCAAGACAATCTGCTAGCTGCTGTCGGGAGTGGCAGAGGGAATGCATATCTTGTGCAGATTTTGATAATGCAGGCTATGAGGAGCACCGCAACTAATAAGATTGAATAACTCTGGCCCCAGCTAGTGTGAACGGCCGTTGCTTTGTGGTCGCCAGTAGGAAATGGTCACGCGACCACTGTTAGTCGCCGTTGAGAACCAGCGTTCATCGATTTGTTTCTCTTCGACTGCGCAGCTATTCATTGCTACTGCACTCTCGCCATAAAGAAAGGCAATTGCTAATTCATACGTGGCGGCATCATGCGGTAGCCTAAATATTTCCCCAGTGCGCCAAGCTGAAATAAGCCAATGATGTGTGACGTAGGCCTGTGGTGCAAAGATTCTTTAGTATAGCTGAAGTATGAGAGGCGAGACGGCAGCTCATGAGGCCGTGCCGTCGTCCCGCTTTTATTTGGGACGCGGGCGTACTTGAAGACACAGCTGCCGCGTCCAGTCACGCCTGGAGCTACGCTGCTCTCCATTCCTCGTGACTCGCACATCAAAAGCCACATGGTTTTCTTCTTTGGTGCGGCAGATGGCCAATACCTGCGTGACGCTACACTATATAGCAGCATTTGTCGACAGAATGAAAAATTCATTCAACTTACGTTGCGATTTGTTTCGCGAAAAAAAAACGATTGGTATGTAACACGTCAGACAGGAACGGGCGGAAACAAAAATGATGGGCTTACAACGTAATCCATGCCTTGAAGTCGCAACTCTACGTACATTCTTTCAACAGCAGTCGTGGCCGAGTGGTCAAGGCGATGGTCTCGAAAACCGTTGGCGTGTCCCCGCAAGGGTTCGAAACCCGCCGACTGTGTGTATTATTTTTTCTTCATTTTGCCCCTTGTCAGTGCATTTCAAAGATATCCGGGGTATGTCACCTTAGCCTGGCCTGCACGATACATTTATTTTTCATATCTCTAACCAAAACCGGTGGCATAGATGGATGGACACAACTTATTTGCAAGTCCTTCATTGTTTAAAGTCTAGGCTGAGGGCTTTCATGAAGGGTTTTCAATGGCCTGCCTCGTTGCCGAGTCTGGGGCCGGCTAGAGTGCCCACTCTTGTGTCTTCGACGACTATTTCTCTCCTGTAACTGAGCACTTCCTCAACAACTGTGTGTGTCGCTCAAGTTTATAGACAAAGTTTGCAAGTACCACTCGAGTATTGCGCGGGAAAATAGTGCCACAATGACACCAGACTCATGAAGATTCCTGTCTGCAGCTGTCACCAGACGACTCCCTGGCATCGTTTCATCTTCCGGTAAGCTGGAGGTCATATCCGCCTCCCTAACCCTTGGAGCTTGGTAATTTTGGTGTACCTCACCAAGTGTTTTTCGAAGATTGTTGTGTATGCTGAAGTCCGTCTTGTATATCGTCCCTTCGCTTCATGGGTCTAGAAAAGGTTCATTGAGGTCTCAACAATAGGGTTCTTCTCAAGCGCGTCAGTTGAGCTACTTCTCTTAATCTCAAGGCTCTTACCCAAAGTAGGGAATTGGCCGAGTATTAGGCGGATTTTTTCCAATTCTTCGCAATAAAACTTGCTAGGCAGAGTGGGGACACTCGCACACTATGTTTTGAGTGGTGTGAGCCTTCGCCTTGGAATACGACCCACTACCAGACGCAGGTGTTAATATTCGCACTAAGCATAAAGCTATCTGTGCAGTTCACTGTTTTAAAAATCACCATGGCTACACCTCGCGTGCACAACGGCAGGCTCATCATCTGGCAATAGAACTGCAGAGGCTTCAAAAACAAGAAAGGTACGTTGATGCTGTACATGCAAACACTTTTTAAAAGAAACTTGCAGGCGTGATTGCCTTACAGAGGCCTTATGACCACATCAACCTTATGGGGTACATCAGCACTGACCGTTCTCTGAGAGCACGGGGCGGATAATCACGATGTGCAACCTTGTAAGAAGGGGAATAGAGTTTGTTGAACATTTGGGTGCACGTTAAAGAACCCCAGGTGGTCGAAATTTCCGGAGCGCTCCACTACGGCGTCTCTCATAATCATAAGGTAGTTTTGGGACGTTAAGCCCCACATATCAAGAGTTTGTTGAACACAAGCTGGACATGGCGAGCGCAATCGTTAACGCTCTATTTAAAAATACTAAGCAAGGGCATAAGAGCTAAGTTGTTTGTCCTTAACGTTTACAGCACCTCCTCGAAGAACGGTCTCACTCACAACTTTAACTGCCACTTTGGCGAAGCGATGGCGCAAGCTGCCTCCAAACCCTTGTTGATTTGCGGATACGCCCCGCGCACGCACTGGGGATACGGAACGCCTCGCCAAAGGGGAGGAGGTCGGCTGAACTAGTGGACAACCTCAGCCTCACCTTGCTAAACAAGCCAATGTCGTACACCAGAATCGGGCAGTGTGTGTGCCGCGGCACGACCCCGGACCTCTCGATGTGCGTTAACACGGACGTAGTGAGCTGGGAAAATACATTTGAAGACCTAGGAAGCGGTCATCCAATCCTCAACTTGGTCGTTGGCAGAAACGCAGAACACAGCGCAAATCGGAAAGTCAGAATCGCCGATTTGGACACATTTCGCCAAAACAGGGACACTAAGAAGGAAGAACCCATCAAGGATATTGGGTCATGGTGTGAGAAAATCCTAGCAGACGTGGAGATAGCCACTAAAGAAATATAATGATCGGGCTGGTAGGAAGAGCAGAGCCCGGGTGGCGAGAGAACTGAAGCCTTCGACCGAACCAAGGTTGACAGCCGTCTGACAAACCTCAACCTGGCCAAAAAAATCAATGCAGCACAGAGTAACGAAGCAGGCGTTTAATAAAAAGCTACAAGAAAAATCGCCAGTCAACCGCGAAATCAAGACACACTGTTCCGGCTTATGCGAACAGGAATAGAAAGAGCCTTGCAATACCATTGACGGAAATATGAGCGCGGGAAACACCTGGAAGATCCTGAAGCACCTGCTAGACGCCGCCAGTTCCATGACGGATGTTTGGACGGAAATGGCCAGGTTGTGGCACAAATACAAGTACGATCCGGAGGCCCTAACGAATGAGATGGTGCGGACGCACCTCATTCGCCCTGAAGGCCTAGATAATCCTGAGTATACTGGTGCACCTATTGAAGAGCTCGACACGGACTTCTCTGTGCAGGAGATCAAGGCTGTTCTTCAGCTACTCAAAATGAAGTCGGCGCCTGGCTCGGACAAAATCACCAGCAAGATTCTCAAAAAGCTAGACGACAACGCAACTATGAACCTATGCGAGTATGTCAATGAGTGCTCGATGACAGGTCGGGTTCCGCGCAAATGCAAATCGTGGACGTGGTGCTTAGTACTAAATCGGGCAGGTCACTGGTAGTCAAGAACATAAGGCCGATCTCTCTCACATCATGCGTCGGCAAGGTGATGGAGCACGCCTGCCTCAGTAGGGTGGTGACGCTCCTCGAAAAGTGAAACGCGTTTGGCACCCACATCATCGGGTTCCGGAAAGGACTCCACACAGCACTCAATGACGCACAGAGCATGCATCTTCGCGCCATGCTCGGGCTCGATCTCGAAAGTGCTTTTGATACTGTGGGGCACACGGCCATACTGGAGCAGATGAGTCAGCTAAACGTAAAGGAGAGATTTCACTAATATGTTGGCAGCTTCCTCGATGGGCGAGAAGCGCGAGGCAAGATCGACGGGTTACCACCAAAGGCGGTCGAGATGGGAGGTGCTGGGATGCCGCAAGGCTCCGTTTTCTCCCCAATACTGTTCAACCTCGTTATGATTGGCCATCCGGAGTGGCTCAATGTGATCAAGGCATCAACCATACCATCGACGCGGTCGACATTACGATATGGACGACAGAAAACAAGAGTTCGGGGAGTATGCAAGATAGGCTGCACTGCGCAGTAAGGGAAGTTGAGAAGCACCTCGTAGACACGGGGCTCGTCTGCGCTCCAAACAAGTCGGAGATCCTGCTACATAGACTTCGGAAACTGGGACGTCGACCATCAGACGTGACCGAGGTCCGTCAGGCGGGCGTGTGCGTCCCGAGAAAAGGAGTCCGTATACCCACAGTATCGCAGATGTGAGCCCACGGCCTCTGGCCGGAAGAAAACGGTGCCAATTCCGAACTGGTCATCCGCCTGCATAAGAAAGGGGCAGCCGTCACGAATCTAATACGAAGAATCGCGAATAAGAGGAAAGCAATAAAAAAGCACAATGTAGTGAGACTAATGCAGGCGTATGCTTTAAGCCACATCACGTACGTTTCTGCTTACGTCAATCGGAGTACAAGTGAAGGCAACAAGTTAGACACGATCATCCGCAAGGCTTACAAAACTGCATTAGGCGTGCCTAACTACACTGCGAACTGCAGGCTCTTCCAGCTAGGCATGCACAACATGCTCGCTGAAATCATAGAGGCTCAGAGGATTGCGCAGCTCGAAAGACTGTCGGGCACCAAGAGTAGAAGAGCCATCCTCAACTCCCTCTATAATCGCTACCACGAGATGTGGGGACTAAAGAACGCGCTATTGCCAGCGGCCAAGAAACCTATACTCACAGAGAATATGCCAAGAAACATGCATCCAGTCTACGTTGCCGAGAGGTGCAGATGCCAAGCGGAGGCGATCCACAAAGAGCATGGCAACCGAGATGGTGTCTTTTTTGTTAACGCTGCTAGATACCCCCGGCCCGACCGAGGATAACAGCAGAACGACCGAGAGCAACAACAATGCCAATAGAAACCTGCCGTTTCCATGGCGTTGGTTGACACGAGCAAATGAACGCTGGTGGCGGGATCTGTGAGGCTCCCATCGTCTGAGGCGGCAGAAAAAAATGGCCATATCCTTCGCAATAGTTCATAAGAGAAATGAGGACACTCTTATCGTGAAAGACGCCAAGACGGCTGTCCGAAACTTTACAAAGCGATGGGTCTCTGTAGAGGCGGCGCACAAGCTAAACGCCAGTGCCGAAGATAATATGCCTGGTGCGATTGCTGCCAAGTCTCTCAAGAGATTCTCCACGCACGTGGGAGAGCTTGGCAGTGACCAAAACTCTGATCTCCATTCGAACCAACGAGTGGGCCCACTTCATCGCGTGACTGCTAACATGCCGCGACGCTGACAAAAGGACCGCTGATGTGCGACACATGGACGATGGTGAGGTACCCGAGGTCTGAGGACATAATATCTCTACAACGACGATAACAGACCTCGAGGCCTTACAGGACTGCAAGGCCATGTTGGTAACTTTCCACGAGATCCTAAACCATTTTAGAAAAACGCGACGACGTTACTACCACCCCACATGCAGCTAGAAAGGCATCAGGCGTATTATCTGAGGCATCTGCAGACCGACACAATTGAGAATTCCCAACACCTGCAAAGACTAAGTCCCTCGCTCCACCTGTCACCCGGCTGTCCGCGGTACGGGCACGAGACAGCCGATATGGCGAATATACTTCGGGAATGTGAGTGCAGTGTTCGCGGCTCTACTCGGAAGAGCGTGAGTGTACCCCAAGACGACTGGCTGAGCGGTGGTGAGATGCTCTTCTCAGCCCACGTGCAGTGGACCAAAGCTTGGCTGTCCAGCGAGCTCGGGCTATCGCCGAAGACATTGCACGATGCTCAGCGTATGACAGCTCCTGGAGGCCTAGCCTGGGCCAGTAATTCCAGTATATATATATATATATATATATATATATATATATATATATATAATATATATATACTAAAATTACTGGCCCAATATATATATATATATATATATATATATATATATATATTGTTTTTTCTGGGAAAAGTGGTGGCGTCAGTGTGGGCGCAAGATGAACTAGGCCTGTA